GGGGTGGGGGTGGGGGCGGGGGCTAACTTTGACGAAATGGGATATATTCACAATATGCAACTAGGGCACAATCGATATATTCACAATATTTGAATTATGTCCTATTAAAATTTGTTTAACTCATACATGACCGAGTTATATAAATCGTGTTTAGTGGGTGCTGCCACACCATACAATATGTAAAACTAACCACCAAGATGCAATCAGCTTAGAGTCATTAATCAAATTGTTAGGGTTGGAAACTTCTATACAATGTACACATAATAATTATGTGCACCAAAAGTTATCCTAAGTCATGTATCCCAAATCAGTTTGGATGAATGGAATAATGATTTCTATAAAGTATTCTAATATTTTTAAAGCACAAAGGACACAAAACTCTATTGCAAGTCATGACCCTAAAGGAACCCCACCTACCACATATAAATACAGTAAAACATTTTGTTATAAACTAAGAAAAGAAACATATGTTTTACTAATTTGGGTAGCTGACATCAAATTAACATAAAAGTGTGCCTTGCAAGTGATGACTACTATTTTTGAACCTATTACAAAGCAATAATTTTATTTAAAAAAAACCCGATTTATATGACAAAAATTCGATCATGATTATCTTGGGAAAAAGAATTTGAATTCCGATTTATACACAACTTATCACGGACATAAAGTAACCAAGCTTTAACATAATACGATTTACAAAGCGCAACATTCTTTTTTTTTTTTTGGTATATAAAATAAACATATAAATAAGACATTTCACATATCCGTCAAGAAATATTGTTTCTAAACATCACACATTTATATTCAAGAGACCACATTACACGTACATCGAGACTGAAGTTAATGTCTTACCATGTGTTAAGGGTATTGAAAAATTGATATAGTTTCACGAGACTATCATAATTGTGGACATTCAAACCCAAAAATTAAACTTAAAAACCGTGCTGTTACTCGATTTTTATGAAGCACAACATTCAACCCATCTAACGCAACCCAAGCCACCATACTAGATGCAAAAAGAAGTTCAAATATTGTGGCTGGAACTCGAACTCCGAAGCCTCTCCGTACTCCCAAGAGTCCATTGTGTCGACAAACGGCCACCGGGAATCTCGCCGGGAAAAAGTGGAGCATATCCCCATCACGTGTGCCCATGTAATACCCCGATGAATGCACAAATATCACAGTTCTATTGACTGGTCTGTCTCTCAGGACATACATATATATACATTCTTAATACCAAACAGAATCAAATCAAACCCAATATTTTAGGGTGTAGTTTCCGAGGTGAAATTAAAATAAATCTCTCAAATCTAAACATGATGGGCAAATTTGTCGGATAATTGATATGAATTCATCATGTTTGATATGAAATTAGTCTTAAACAATATAAATAAATAGACTTGTTAGATCAGTCAAATAAATAGATTGATATGAATCTATTATGATACGATCTTATATGGCCAAAAAGTCTGTTTGGAAGACCACTTCAACTGTAACAAAAAGCTCACTTCAATTTAAGAAATACACGAATGCTTTAATAAAGTTTGGTACATGAAACAATGTAATGCAGAGATTACAAAACCGAGCGTGTCGTGCCATGACAAAAATTATGGATCAACGTGTGCTGATCGTACTCTTAATCTTGGTAACTGGTCTAAATAATGCTATTGGAGCCATATACTAGTCCCTTGGTAGGGGTGAAAATAAATATTTATGGTGACTATCTTTGGACATACCTTACAGTAATTCTATACACTGTCAGTTTTTTTTCCCCGGATTGAGTTATATAAGTGACAAGAGATAATAAGGTAACATGGGCTTGTGTGCTCAGACTGACGCAGGGAGGCCCCCAAAGTTGGCTGATAAACAAGCAAATTTCTCTTAACCCACTTGAACTCTAACCCCAGTTTGGGGACACCCAGAGCAGGATAGTATGGGGTATCTCTCTCTCTCTCTAAAAATTGAATGTGTACCTAAAATATTGATATAATTTAATGATTTAATTGATCATTACTATTGAATTGTTAGTGAATTTCGACGAACACTGAACTTATGATTAAGTTAATAATAATGATTAATAATATTAATAAATCATTTTAATATCTTAGATCCAATTAACATTACTATTCCCTCTTTGTCCCGTTACGGTTCCCTTACCCCCTCCATTCAAAGTCTATTTAAAAACAAACATAGCCCACTGCTTTCTCTCATGGACTTGTCTGCATCGCCACCAACATCAATTCTTTAGCTCTCTCCCTGTCCTCTCTCTCTCCACATTTTCTTCTCTTCATGGAAACTTTCTCTCTCTGCCCATAACCTGTCTCAAACAGTTATCTTTCTCCTCTGCTCTTTTTAAGTGCCTCCCATACTTCACTTGTTTCATATTCACCCTCTAGATAACTTAGTTTTCTGACAGAACTCTCTCTCTTTCTCTCTCACTTGTCTCACTGAGTCATTCCCTCCTCCCATACACCATTAGTTTCTGACAATGTCTAGCCGAAGATCTCGTTCGAGGCAGTCAGGAGTTTCAAGGATAACCGATGATCAGATCACTGATCTTGTGTCCAAGTTGCAACAGCTTATTCCTGAGATTCGTAATAGGGATTCGGACAAGGTACTCAATTTGGCCTTTTCTTAATTCTTTCCATCAACATGAAGTCTTCGTATACGTGCTGTACAGACTTGTGTGGTTTTCGTTTTCTCTTGGTAGATAAGTTTTTGGGTCTGCCCACAACCTTATTTAATGTTTGTGGTGCACCTAGCTAGCCGCAGTTTGAGGTGGAGTTGTTACTCATATTGGTAGGGTCTACATGCACATGTACATATAAAAGGGAAACTGCTTTGTCAATGAATTAGATATACATAGTTTTACTTTTGTATACTATAAAATTATTTCCGTAACTCAAACTCTTGGCATTCACATCATGTAACATTACCCACCCTCTACACGTGTATATAACATGGGTGCATATAAATTACCATTTTTTACTCATTGGTGATCTTATACACTGAGGCAGGTTTCAGCTTCGAAGGTGTTGCAGGAGACTTGCAACTATATTAGAAGCTTACACAGAGAAGTGGATGACCTAAGTGAACGATTATCTCAGCTTTTGGAGTCCACGGACAGCAACAGTGCTCAAGCAGCTATTATTAGGAGCTTGCTAATGTAACATTATAAGTTGTAGGTTTTTTTTTTGTTGGCCTTTGCTCCTATCTTCTGCTATATATCTACTAGGGTTTGCTAGGATAGGGGTGAGCTTGGGCTCCATTGTATCTCCATATATGTGTAGACTTTTACTAGTGTTTTATAATAAGAAAGGGCTTGCACCTTCTAGGTTCCTACTATTGCTGTGGTATTTGAATTATTTATGTTATATCGTTTTTAAGTCTTTAAGATGGTAATAGATTAAGGAAAGCTTTTTTGTATCAATGAATGAAGCTTTTGTAACTGCGTTGCTTCGAATATAGTTTAAGATTGTAGTGTTTTATGATGACGGAGAATTGTCAAAATGTTGTTGCTCGGACTTGTGATTAGTATACAAACTACTTAATCACCCGTAAAGTATGCGTATTGATCAAATTCAAGTTCATGACTTGAACTTGATACTTGGAGATAATAACCTCTGAAAATACCTCTTAATCTTACCATTTACCAACCTAACTAAGTAAATATCCTTTCAAGTTTTTAAGTCTTTTATTTTCTATTGTTGATTGTGAGTTGAGACACTTCGGTTGAAAATAAGTTGCATGTATTTAATTTTTCAAAGTCTGGATGCTGTTATGGTCTTATAGTAATACTCATATTTATTGCATGATAACTGTCGTAACAACCCTCTTGTCTGGATGGTTTGGAAATTTTGCTCAAAGGTAGAGGTTTTGAATGCTCTTGGCCCCAGGCTCGTAGTCTCTTCCCCAGTGTCAAGAAAAAGTGAAACAAAAAACAGAGAAAAAAGGAAAATGATACATTAATATTGAATCTGTTAGGGTCAACTTTGAAGTGAGAGTCCCCAACATGGCACTTTACTCCCATACCAACTTGTAAACTTTAATAGATATTTACACTCCCCCCCAAAAAAAAATAAAAATAAATGCTAAGCCGACGCCAAGGTGCGTTTTAAGTTGGGATGTCTTGAGTTTGATTTTCATTGATGACTTGTAGATTTTAATCGATACCTATAGTTTACAAATAGTTTCATATATGCAAGATTAAACTTGCTATGTTAGGTTCAAAATGTTCTCGCCTTGAAAAAATTATTGTCATGAAATTCAAAATAAAGAACGAAGTTCTAGCTGGCATGTTAGAGCCATTTGGGCATTTTTCGTTTGTCTTTTTTTGGTACATAAAATGAATATACATATAGATTATTTCACATATTTGTCAGCGAATATTGTCATTTAGCATCACACAATTATCTGTAGAAGATCTTACTACACTTACATTAATATGAAGTTAAGGTTTTATCATATATTCTAGACGCTGAAGAATAAGTTTAATCTTATTAAATTATTGTAGCTGTTGAGACTCGAACCAAAACATTGAACGAGGAGATTCATGTCCTTACCCACCGGATTAATTGCTGGTGTCCTTCGTTTGTCATGGTATCAAGAGGAATGCCATTAAAATGTGGACCTAAAAGCCGGGAATGGAGTGGTGATTGTTGGAGACCAAATGTCTTTACGTCACTATCGACAACTAGCTGGCCAACCAAAGCTAACTGAGGTGTGAATGCTAAGAAAATCCGTGGAATTCTTCAATGCCATCCATGAGTACCCTAAAAAGATGAATTCAAATTTTCTTGTTTTTCTTTAGTTTATATCACTTAATGTATGTTGGCAAAAAAAAAAACTTAATGAATTTATGCACGGAATTCGTACTCTCTTAACGTCATCTTCTCCCAACCCACCCTTGTACATAGAAAGTTATTCATTTATTAATTAGTTTTTGAAGAGTAATCATAAAAAAAACTATGATTTGGAGAAATATCGAGGAGAATAGGGTTAATAGAGTATTTTTAATTTATTGTGAAAATAAGTAACGAAGGCTTCACTATCATAGATAGATAATGAATCAAACTTAAAATTCGTGGCGTGTTATTGTTATTGGAGAAATTAAAGAAAAATAAATGAAAGATATGAATGGTACTCGAGAAACAATATATTGTTTTTCTTTATTTCTCTTTTGAACGTATGTGTGGAGAAAATATAATAATTAATTTAGTTACTAACTTATATATTTAAAAATAATAATTACCCATGTAGCAAAGTGAAATTTACCTTAACTTATAAATTTGTTATTAAAATTATAACACCAGGTAATATATATAATAACAATAATGTTAGATTGAACAAATTTTAAAATCAAGTTTAAAGTCTAAATGATATGACAGTTGATTTGGACTCTTTGATTAGTGTCATGTCATTTGAACCCCAATAAAAATTTTAAATAATTAACTATCATGTCATTTAGATTTTAAATTTGATCCTAAAAGATCAGTGTAATAATAGTGTTGTTATAGTAGGTTTAGTCCACTTTCTTACGTAGTTGCCCTTTTGGGTGAGTGATGTTGCCATGTCCATGTGAAGTAATTACCCTCTAAGTTAGAGTAGGTGGGCTATGGAGTGAGACTCACAAGTCTAAGTTACAGCAAATCAAATCAAATCATATCAATTAACTAACTAACAAGCTATTATTAAGAAAAATGTTATATAATTTAAATAAAATTTAAATATATATCAATTTTTAGATGAATGAGTTCCACTGAAAAATTTAATAGACTCACTCATATAAAAAATAATATATATTTAAGTTACAATTGCTTGAATTTTATAACATTACTCAATTATAATATTTTGCTCTATTATTTTATTTTATAGGAATGATGAAAAGTATGAGAAATATATTTCTTATCCTTTAAGAAGGGAAAATATGAATGATATATATTTTTTATTTGATAAGATGAATGAAAAATAGGTAAGAAAGAAAGAAATATATATATATATATATATATATATATATATAAATACATATTTTATCATTATATTTATATATTAAATTAATATCAAAGAGTATATAGACAAATTATATATATTTTAACATAAATAATTAATTTTACATTCACTTTCCTTCCAATTTTGGAGGAATTGACTTTAGTGAGTTGGAAAGAAAATTTATTCACCCATTTTTCTATCATTCTTATTTTCTTTCCTTATCAAACATGATGTTTTATCTATCCCTCCAAATTTTTATTCTTCTATTGTACCAAACGGAGCATAAGTTCAAAAAAATCGGACTCAAATCTCCATCAATGGACTCTTTTGTCAATTTTATTTTTATTGAATTTATCTATCATTAATGAATGAGAAATTCACTTATATACAATAAATTGTACTTATAAGCATAATAAATGATTTATAAAAAAAAATAAATATAGAAGGAAACAGACGTATCATATTTAACCGACTTAGACTGTCTCTTTCTCTCTCTTTTTCGTTAGACTAGGGGGGTGGTTGTGAAGGTTTCCAACCGACAGGATACAACGCCGTGGGTTATATCAGAGGGATCCTGAAGGTATATCCAAATCTCATACTCATGCTCATGCTTTTAAGTTATTTTTCGGTGTTTCTTTTGACTTCCTTCACTTAATTGTATTCCTATCGCATTGCCGAGTAGTAGCTAGTACCATCCCAGTTACTGGTTTGGCGGTCAGTTGTATTTGTTTATGTTTGTTCTTGATTCTAAACGTAATTTTTAAGTAGAATTTAATCTACAAAAATAATATAATTTATTACTTAATTTTGGTAATATTGTGATGACGGACTGTCATTTCAGGTTTTGTAACTATGGTTTAAATCAAACACTCTATATACACCGGGGAATCTTCGTAGTCACGCTCAAGGATTACTACTAGTCAAGTATGCATTTTTTCTTTTAGCCAAGTGTTTACTTTTTCGTCTGATGCTATTAAAATATAATTTGGTGATTAAAACATAGGTGAATAAATTCACAATGACTAGAATGTAGTAGTAGTCAAAAAGTTTACTATACTTGAAATGAAAGGTATAAAATAAGTAGTTGGTGAATGCAAAGAGTCTGAGTCATTGTTGTGTTTTGTTGTAAAAATTCTTCATTCGACCAGACTTTTAGTGGAGACTATATTAGTAACATCTCATTAGAGGTTGGTGAAGTAGCTGAACAACAGAAATTAAATTCATTAATCATTTTGTTGACTACATTTAATTATAGGATAAATTACATTCACACCCCATAAAGTTTGTCATTTAATCAGATAAGCCCCCTCATATTTGACAAATAACATTGAAATCCCTTCGAGTTTGTACGCTTGCTACACTTACACCCCTATTGTCAGAGTCCGTTTAAAACACTGTCAAAAGTTATGTAACGTTAGCCTCATTTTAACATAAAATTCCCAAATTAACCATTGCAAGACCCATGAGACAAAACCTTTTCATTCATTATAAAACAGTTTTTTTTGGCCTTTTCTGGTCAGACCATTAAACCAAGGTAAATCACACCAAAAAGAAAAAATTCATGCCAAAACATCTCCCATGCCACTTCCAGCCCCCAAACCCAAACCCAAACCACTGCCAGCAATTTCCAACCCGTAAAATGATTTCTAGCAATCACCATGCATTTTTTGCTCCAAAAACCACTGCCAATCCAGCACCTAAAAACCACCAGTAACCCACATATCCACCTTTGATAGAAACCACTGCCACCACTTGACAGAAACCATTGCCACTACCTGTTACAAAAATGAAAAACCACCAGCACCCCCAATTCCATTTTTCAACACAAGTTAAACCACAAGATCCCAGTCATTGCAAATAAAAATTTCCACCCAAAACAATATCAAACACCCATTGAATGTTAATTTGCGATTTATCTATAAATTAACAATCACAAACAGTAGCACTCCACAAATAAACAAGTAAAACATAAACACCATCACTGACAATCCAACACATAATAGATTTGAGAAAAAAGGGTGAAAGAGAACAAATACATAAAGAACGAGTTGACTCTCTCTTCCGCTCTCTTGTTCTCTATACATATATATAGTATTAGCAAGAGATAAAGTTTGTCCATGTAGGTTTTTATGGTTTGGGTGATTGTTGTTGTTCTTGGGCAAGCAGGGGGCCGGGTGTTTGCTGGGAGCTGGTTCACCAGAGGGAACGACAAAGAGAAATAAAGAGGTGAGATACTTATGGGTATTAGGGTTAGGTCGAGTTAGGGCGGGTTAGATTCGGGTATGGTACATATGCTTTGGGTTAGGTTGATTTTATTTTCTTTACATCAAAGGCTACAACAGTCATTTTATAACTTCCGTTAGAGCTGTTAGGTGACTGTTTTCAATAAGGGGTGTCAGTGTAATACTTCATAGCTGAGGGGTTTTGTTGATTAAATGACAAAACTCAGGGGGGATAAATATAATTTATCCTTAATTATAAATCAATTTAGCAAGAAAGCAAGACACAAGAACGATAAAAAAAAAATAAAAAAAAAAACAAAAACAACAACAATAACATTACATTGATAAAAACAAAAAGGGGACAAAATGACGTGACACTGATATAATAATGCATTTGATTCAAGATTAACTTATCATGTGAGTTACCGCATCATTTGTTCGGTCCTGTAATTTAGTCAGTGTCTCGTTACCTAAATAACAATTCTTGTCCAGTTACATATGATGATGGCCTTGTAAGTTTTAAATGTGTATCTTATCTTATGTAAATATTTTGTAGGCTGGACTTGGCCTTCACTTCGAGCCAATAAAGACAGAGAAAATTGACTCGAGAACAAATTTTATTACAAATTTGCATTGTCGAATCCCAGATGTAACAATTAAATAAGAAGTGATGGGAATAAAAGATTTGTGATCCTAAAAGATTGTATTGAAAACAAATTCTAACTGTTCATTGATCACGATAGCGAGATTTAAGGGTGTCCATAGCGCGGCCCTTGAAATTTTTTGGGTTGGAGCTAAATAGGGTAGACTCGAGTCCTTATTTTGCTGACTTATCTAGTGGATCGAGCCAGGCTTTGCATAGGGGTAGATTACCTATAACCCAACCCATCAATCGCTAGGCGAGCCTTGTTATTGGGCCTGTTGGGCGGGCCTTGTGCACCTCCTAGTGGACTTTTTTTATATACAACTTTATTTAAAGTAACTTTAATTTTTTATATTTAACTGTCATATCTAACATTTTAGAGGTGTAGTTTCACTTATGTTGTACATCATATGATATTTTTTGTAATTTTAAATTATTTTTTTTACACACAGTTCCAAATGTCTGAAGTTTATTTTCAGAACTTATTATATGATAAAAAATATGCCTAATTTTATCAATTAAAAATCTGATCTCATGATGGTCACTTTATACTATGAGATTTATGATATGACACATGAATCTCATATGAGAAAAAAATATCTCAACATGATAAAGTTAAATAACATCTTAAACGACAATTCCACTATTATTTGTTGCATTATCTAAATTAATAGTAAAAAAATTATTTTGAATAAGATAAATTTACAACTGAATATAAATAACTTCAAAAATAATTTGTGTACCTAACGTTTTCCCACTTCCCTATCAAACTTTTTCAAAATTTTAAATTTAACGTGTCTAACTTTTTTTTAAAGAAGGAAGGGCGGGCGAACAGGTTCTTGGGCAGAGTTTTGGGCCAAGAAATAAGGTTGGGTAGGCCCAAGAGATGATATTGGGCTAAAGCTAAGGAGAAGGTCAACTATAAAACCTATCAAATTTTGGAATTATTTTTTTGGCCAAAATAACGAAACTGGTGGACAATCCGACCCAAGAAGCGAGATTGATATCATCGGACCCTGTCTGGTCTAGGCCCATATTTTGTACAAGCAATTTGGCTACGCTTAGCGAGCCAGGGCCCATTTTTTCCCCAGTGTCCAGTTAAATATATGTTTGATGAGGGCATGGTATATAAAGTCACGTGATCAACTCCGAACCTTCTGCTTAGTATTTACACTAAAAGATAATCAATTTTGCCCGTTCCGTATTATTTTTTTCTTTTTCTTAGATACAAATTTGACACTACGTGGCATTCAACATAGATTGTCACATTAATAACTAAGGGTGCGATTGAAAACTATTTTGTATACATTTTTTCATCTGTTTTTCCTCTTCTCGTGATGGGTGAGTCTCAATGCCTTGGACAACATTTTAATGGAAGGAATAGCAATATTACATCTTTAAGAACTGAGATGTTTTTATGTAATACATATGGCAAGTACAACTTAATTACCACATCTAGGAGTAACAACAATGTGAGATTAATGAGTTAATGTGACATTTTCCCATTCTATATCGAGGATATTGACCTACAAATTTTCCCTTGAATGGTATGGATATCTAATTCAATCATCGTATATCTGGAATTAAGGAATTTTTGAGGTTGATTTAATTCACTAAAAGTGTTGAAATATGATGGATCTCAAATTTAAAAATGAGATTTGTTGTCAATCCAGCAAAACCAACAAATTATAGGCGATTGATCACTGTAGCTTGAGTTGGTCTAGAACATGTCATTATAAAGATAGGAATGACCAACTCTTGGGAACGTGGGAAATGGTTAAAACCTAAAATTTTTAAATTATTAAAGGACATACTCAATTACTGGACCGTTCTAAAGGATTAATTGAAGTATTGAACTCATTTTATTTACCAAAGAAATATGTTGAAATTGTTCTAAAAACACTCTAAAAGATAGTTTAAATGATAATAAGGGCGAATTATAAATTTCGATATTTTAAATTTAAATTTTAACAATTTTTAAAAGTTGACCACAATTATCTTAGAATAATATATGTTTAACCAAATCGGGATTAGTCGAGAAGAAACCCCTTATCTCTGAAAAAAAAAAAAAATTGCCCTGTAAAAGACTGGTCAATAAGCTGCCACGCACACTCTCCTCTCTGTCTAGGCTACTGAAAATTGGAGAGAGAAGGCCTAAAACTCTTCGACTCACAAATGTGAATCCAAAATAGATAAGCGATGGCCGTGGCCAGCTCCTCCTCCACCACCCTAATCTTATCTCTCACCACCTCTTCGACCCACCAATCTCTCCACATTATCCCCAATCTACCTTTCACCAAACCGTCTTCCAAATACATTCGACCCACCACAAAACTCCACGTGTCCTCCAAACCCATTACCGCCACCACCGCCACCTCCAAACCCAACGAAGAAACCATCTTTTTCGACGGTGGAGCCCACTACGGTGACCTTGTAGCAAACCTCCTTCTGGGTTTCACTCTCCTTTGGTTGCCTCTAACTTTAGCTGCTGTTTTGAGGGCATTTTATCTGAGGTTTAGGTTTACCAACTTGAGGGTCACTGTGATTTCTGGGCTAACAGGTGACAGGAGTGACTTTGGTTATAATGTAATCAAAGATGTTCAGGTTGTGCCAAGGTTTATTGGCGAGTGGGGTGATATAATCATTACTTTGAAAGATGGTACTAGGGTGGACTTGAGAAGTGTTCCCAAGTTTAGGGAAATTGCTAAGTATTGCCTATCCATGGCTGAGAAGCCTGTGGTGTTAAAGGAAAGTGGCCCAAAAGGGTTTTGAGGGATTGGTTTGGTGTGATTTTACAAAAGGTTCTCTTTTTCACGAGGTATGTAAATTTTTGTGTAATTTCAAATTTGGTGGAACTTTATAATTGTTCTTTGCGGTATAACTAAAGAAGCTACACAATGGCTGATTTGTTAATCTATTCTGAATTATAGTTGTTTTTGTATACGTTTTAGTTATCAATGAGACGGGTTTATCTTTGTTAAATATTGTAGAGTTTGCAATGTTTTAATTTGAATTATTTACTTATTGGCAAATGAGGAAGAAATTATTTTTGGCTACATATGGATAACGTGTTGATGGAAACGGCTTCCATTGCATTTATGGGACAGAAAGTCTAAATTGAAGAGTGCATAGACTGTAGTTAGGAATCACATTAAACCATGATCCTATTATTGCTAAATGAAACTCTTTAGATTGCAGATTGGCTATTGCAAACTAGGCAAACGAATTTCGTTTAACTACATATAGGCAGATTTTTTGTGTGGTGTCTAAGAATTTATTGTTGCTGTAATCTATACAGCATTGTTGTTGGGAAATTGTTGCCATGAAATGGCTTCGTTGGATCAGCTAGAGCTTAACGGATTGGCTATATATGTGCAATTGAAGTTTATTAAAAGAACTTTGGTCTATACTAATTGCCTCTTATGCGCTACTATTTCTAGAATGCCTTAAATTCTTGCTTTTGAATTTGGAATAGTTAATCGATTGCAAGTTCCGATTAGCACGGTAGATAGGTTTAATGGTACGGTTGGTACCTACATATGGTAGAAACTTTTTTTGAAGGAGATTGGAAATTTTGTAGATGGTAGAATATCCCTTTGGAATGCTACATTGGTGAAGGGCCAGTTTTCTAATCCGTCAGTAGAATATGTTCCAGGACCTGTGGATGCATTTGATTGATTTGTGCCTATGGTATGTAGAAGAAAAAACATTGATTAAAAGCTTCAACATGTTTACCAAGTCAGCTTATTAGTCTCGGACTTCATTTCCTTTTTGGAAACGGTGTGGTAGATGACATAGGATATAGATGACGAAAACTTGACTGCCGACAGTGCAGGGACATAAGAATCACTTTGGAGATCATCAAATTTCTAGTGAAATTGTTCGTCATCAATACTGTGAGAGCTGCAAGACATATGGTAAGGTTTGACATATCACTTTTATATTTGAAAACATGAGCTTTGGAAGTATAGAGGATTTTCAGAAACCAAATCCTTAAATCAAATACATTTTGGGGTAAATAAAGCAGTGGATACATTAACACAAGTACATAAAATAAGATGATTTCGCTTGAGTTTGAAATTGAGATGAGAATATCTGAGAATTAAGCTGGAAACTGTCTGTGTGTGTGTGTTTGTATGTGTGTGCATTGTGTTTCTCAAGTTTCTCTCGCGCTACCTCTTTCAATTCAAAAGTTGATGTGTTGCAATTGTCTAATGTCAAAAACTACCCTTATCATAGAATACTACCTCCTAAAGCCAGGGGTTATGCACTTAGAACCTGCCCTCTGTTCTCCCACTCCCTGTATTACCGGGTGTGCAAAAGTGGAAATTTAGTTCAGTTATGTTCTCTGAAGAAGCCGAATCATGATCTTAAATTGATGGGTGTTGCAAACATTTGTTTTATCACTAGTATTGAAAGTGGGAACTGTGCCAAGTGCGACAGATTGGTGAAGCAAGTTCTTGCTGTTTACAAACGAAGATATAATTCATTCAATCCTGACTAGCTATGGCTGTTTTGATGCTCATCCTTGTGTCTTTCGTGGGCATCAGATAGCTCATCACTCCAGCACCATGAAGGATCTTTGCCTGGTTTGATTTGTTGGTCAAAGTAGTTTATGGAGCTGCCATTTGATGTATTGGGATACTGGACAATAGTTTCCTTCGGGTGAAGGAGGTTCTGCCTCTGATGCATGGTTTAGGAATCATGTCACCAGAACAGAGATGGTCAAGGCCTTGTGACCATCCTTTGAGCGAACTCAGGGAGGAGAATTTCTTAAACTACTAAGTGAAAGTCCGTTTAAGCTAAAAGCACCGGTTTTTTCCAACCTCTAATCCCGCCAACTCCAACGACAGACGATGGCCAGTCCACAAGAGAACCCAAAACGGGAGCAAACCTCCCCTTCTACCTTTCTTGTCCGCCGTAAAACGAAAGTGCAGCGCTGAACTTACTTAATATATTGCAAAAACACAAGTGACGTCAGATTTTTTCAGGTTGAAAACAAATTATTTGACGTGGTCTAACAACTTTGTCTGATAAGGTGCCCAAATCTCATTTAGGAGCCTTATTAGTAAAAGGGCTCTGGAAACTCTAGTTTTAAGTTAAAAGAGAGGGAAAAGGGATTAACGGATCCAAAGCAACTAGCCAACATTGTTTCTTTGAATGAAAGAAAAAAAGAATCGAATCTGAGGAGGGTGTTAAGAGGATGAAGAAATCTATTTATTGCGAGCTCAGGGACAGGATCTTTGTTTAAAAATTCTGTAATGAAGTAACACACATATTGAATGCCTCTGTTCTGGAAGACATTATACAATGAGGTTTAGGGATGTAAGTGATGGATATTAATGAGTTCATCAGTAGAGTGTAACACTACATATTTGAGCATAGAATGTGAGATAGAAAAGGGCGTATCTAGTACACGAGGTTCCCGTGATTGCGAGATTTGAGGAGGGTTAGATGTACACACCTGCAAAAAGAGAGGCTGTTTCCGCAGGGTAAGACAGAAGAAGGCCCTAAATTTTAGTCCTCCATTAGTTGATCTGTCACCCCAAGGATTATGCCCTAACAATTCCAAGTGCACCTGATGTTTTTGTTTCTTTCAAAACAACCTGTTTTGAATGGGCCCCTGAGTGGAATGCAAGCTGACTAGTGACCAGCTGGGTTGGACAACATTGGACCCTCCTGGCCATGTTGACCTCTCTACTCGTGAATTTTTTATTTCTTGAGGGAGACCCTGACCACGCATGGCACCTGGGGCTGGGGAGTTCAAGTTTTGTTCAGTACTGCCTGAACATTTGCAGCTGCAAATCCAATGCCATGAGTGAATTTTTTTAAAATTAGCTGGTGGTAGAGGAGAGGAGTTTGACTTGGGGACCGATGGAGGTATGATACCGAAGTTTATCTTCTTTGTAGTTCAAGATATAACCTTTTGGGGTCAAATTAAAACAAAAAGTTAAGATCGATACTAAAAAATTATAATTTTTGGGTTAAAATTACACTGTTTTTGGGTATTAGGATCAACCCCAAAATATTGTGATTGATCCCATACCCCCCCCCCCCCCCCC